GGGGGGGGGTCGCAACACGCTGCAACACACAGCTACTGCACGCCACCACCAACACCTACCAACGTCCACCACTACCGCAGCTACCACCAACCATACGAAGACTTGACAGGTCTCAAAACGCATCACCCACACCCGCGAGAGTGAATTTAAAGACTACAGCTTCTTTAAATTTCACTCGGGAATCAAATATGGTATTAGCTTTTCCGCTTTTCTTACTGGCTGTAAGGAGAGCAGTTTAATAACAGTATCGGCTTTGTTGATGAAGGGTGCGTTAAAAAAAAACAAACCTGATTCGTGGGACGGCATTCTCCTTGCACCGTTCGAAGGTATTTCAAGTCTCATGTATGGGTTTCAAATGTATTGCGTCCATTACTACTCTCACGAGATGATACAAAACTCTAGGCCGTAGAAACGAATTATTTACTCCCTCACACACACACCCATCTACACACAAAAAAAAAAAAGAAAAAGGAGAGAGAAAAGCCACCTAGCCCTCTGTAGTATTAAAAGTTTTGCAATGAATAAGTAAGCCCCCGCCCCATGATTTACGCCTCAGCGGCGACAAAACAGCAACGCATGGCTCATGTATTATGAAGGCGTCCCCACTCTCTCTGTCTCTCTCTGTCTCCCTCTCTCTCTCTCTCTGTCTCCCCTTGCCCCCCTCGGTTCCCCCCTCCTGCCTCCCTCAGGGCTCGGCGCAGGGACGAATGTAGTATGAAATCCCCGTCTTGCCTCGCGAAAAATGTTGTTTGGTGGTGCGGTGCGCCGAGGGGGAAGAAATACTGCAGATTACTGCTGTGTGTCGCGTGCTGGTTATTGAGGTGTGCCCTGCGGGGTTGGCGGCGCGGTGGAGGGCCGGAGGGCCCCTCACTCGCGCTGCCGTGCCGAGTTAATTGCACTTAGGCCCCTCAGGCTGCCGAAGGTGCTGCGGCCGCGGAGGGGACCGCACGGCGGCGCACGGCGGAGGTGCCCTGCGCCTCGCCCTGCTCCTGCGCGCGGGTGGCGTTCGGCAGCAAGGTCAGCCCGACATCGACCTCCCCGGCGCCGCGAGCTGCCGACGGCGCCGAGGGTGCCATACGCACGGGGATGCGTGGGTACGTATACAACCGTCCCCATGACTGTCCCGCACACAAGGCGGCGTCAAGTCGGCTTGGCGTGGGTTGTTGCCCATAGGCAACGTGTTGCCTAGTTGCTGACCGTGCGATCGCCCCCCCCCTTCCCCCTTAAAACCACCCTTGCCCGCGCAGCACGCGCCGGGCCGGGCGAAAGTAAAAGTGGCGGAGGGGAGCGGCTGGTGCCAGTCTGACCTCTTTCAAGACGCTAATGAGAAATTAATGGTCCGTCACGCCTGTCGAATGACGGTGTCGTGTTACGGGGTTAGTTTTTTTTTAATTTTTATTTTTTATTTGTCTATTTTGCCCCCTCTCGTTCTGCCGAACGCTGTTTACAGTCGTCAAACTTCCCGCCTCTTTTCGCTTTCGGTTTTCCCGGCCACTGGCAACTCTCCGGCGGAGCGGAAGAGGGCACCAGCTTACTACCCGTCCGGGGGGTTCCCTAGAGAAAAAAGTAACTGAGATTACGTTGAGCTTGACTGGAATTAGAGAGAGTTGACTGGCTTAACCCGGGTTTTGTAAGAGCAACTGGGATTGCCTGATTATTCTTTGGTTATTGCCTATTATACTAA